TGGGAGCGGTCGGAGCAGACACGCTTGTTCCTGGTCTTAGGCGGACAGCAGCCAGTCTTCCCTCTTCAGGATGGTGTTAGCTGTGGGCTTTCAGTGGATGTCCTGTATCTGTGAAGAAAGTCCCTTCTGCTCCTGGTTTGTGGAGTATTTCTCCTCCACGGCAGCAGCGCTGACTTCTGTTAAATGCTCTTTCTGCGTCTGCGCAGGCGGGGGTGTGATTTTCGTCTGCATGCTACGGACGGGGTTATCGTCCGATGGCAAGTCCTTGACTTGGGGGTGCGAAGCCAGCCTTTACTCCTGGGATGAATTCCACTGGTCCTTTTGCATGCTGCCGAATGTGGCTGCCGGTCATTTGATGAGGATTCCTGGAGGAAACCGGGGAGGGGGTGGCCCGAGTTGGCCTGGAGCGCGCAGGGGCCATGCCAAGTGCCTGCTGAGCGGCTCTCGTGTCAGCCGGCTGGGGGGACGTCCTTGCGGTGGTGCTCCCCTGCGAGGGCGGCATTTGCGTTCACCTTCTGCACCCTGTTCTCCACTCCGTGTCTGCCCTCTCCTCACCTTGCCTGGCACCCCCTCACCCCTTCCACTTTGCTGGCCCAGTCCCGCCTTGGCCTGACCTCAGCCCCTCCACGTGGCCTCCCAGGCCTCTAGAAGAGAGTGTTGGCCACCCTCGCTGAAACCTGCGCTGATGTGGACAGAGTGGTGGCCACAGGGCTGAAGTCCCTAGAGGGTGTTGTGTGGCCTCTGCTGCCACACCCTGACCATTGCCTTAGTGCGGACACACCCTTCCTGCCTCTCTGGGTGCCGGCCCATCCCTGTGGGACTGTGAGGATGCCCTGTTCTCCTCCCGGACCAAGGCCAGGGCCTGGGCTGGGCTCCACTGCGGCCCCTGGGCCCCCTGTGCGCTCCTGGCTTCCCGTTACTGGGGCTCAGTGCTCCCCAGGCGGATGGCTGCTGACTCCTGAGTGCCTTTCCTTCCTGCCGCAAGGGTTAGCCTTGCTCCTTTTGGACTTTTCTGTGGTGACCAGGCAAGCCCCAGGAGCGTCACCTCCCCCGCCCCGGCAGAAACCAGGTCAGTGGCTTGCCATGTCTACTTTGCCAGACCACGTGCGCCCATACATACAACTGGTGCACCTCTGTGACCTGCCTTTTTAGTGGCTACGTGGTGAACATCGTTCTGTACGGACACTTAGCGAGGTGCCTCATTTATTTCTCTTTCAGATGCTTAAGTGTTCTACTGAATGGGCACACTTCAGGTGAACAGTCCCTTTGTTGAAAGAAAATTATATTGTGCCCACTCTTGCCGTTCCCAAGATTTTTGCAATAAATCCCCACTCCTATAGTTTAGACTTCACGGGGCGCACTCCCTCTGAGGGCGAGGTCTTGTCTCGCTCACTGCCGCACAGCGCGAGGCCGGACATGTAGGCAGTCCCGGTAAACAGCACTGAGTGACGAAGGAAAGCAGGGTGCTTAGCCGCTTCCAACTTTGGCAGGCAATCCTCCTATGGTCCAGCATTCTCCCAAGTGCATTAGGCCACCAACCAGTAATTCTGGGAACTCTCTTGCACAGTAGGCAACCATTTCTGCAAGAGAGCTGACAACCACTTTGTGGAGACTTGACTCGACAACAAGAGGATGTTCGGTCCGCCCCTAGGGCAGCCACAGACAGAGCATCCAGACACTGACTCTCTGCTTCAAGGCGCCAGTGAATGTCTGCAGGTTCTAGCAAAGTCATGGGCTGATTCTCTGAAAATCCTTCCACTCTAGCAACTAACTATACATAATCAAAACCATGCGAGAAACGCATTTCTGGGCTGGCAGAAAGGGCAGGACCTCTTCAGGGTCCTGAGACAAGGAGGGACCTGGACCAGGCAAGAAGGAGCACAGGAGCCAGGACAGCGGCCGCCAGGGGAGGGGCTCAAGTAGCCTAATGACCCGGTCGCTCCAGTTCCCTGGGGGGAAGGATGCGCTGCTCAGGACGTGAGGTTAGAAACTGCAGTTGGAACCCCACAGGGACGCGAGGCTTTCGGAACACTACAGCAACGCTGGAAATGGAGCACATGCGCCTCCTGTCCCACAGCGCTGGGAGAGGACGAGGGGCTTAGCTTCCTACCACTGGGATGGAGGAGGGCACACATTTCCTCCCGAGAACCAAGGTGCCCTGACACTGATCTAGGTCTGGTGCTCATGACGAAGAGGAGCTCCCAGGCTGAGCAAGTAAGACAAAAGTGGCTGTGGGAAAATGATGACCCTTGGGCCAACAGCCTCAAACCAGGCCCCAGCTGCACATGGATCAGAGAAGATGTTCCAGTTCTTGGCATCAGGTATCTTAAAGGCAATACTACTTCCACACTGGAAGAAGTGCAGAGCTGTAAGAATTATGGCCGTTAAACAGTAGGCTATCGAGATCACCTAGAGGGTTTTTGGAAAGAGCCAGATGGACACTCTCACTGGAAAGGCACAGGAAATTCCAAGCAGCATAAACAAATAGGACCCTGTGTAGACTTGATACAGTAAAACTGAAGACACACAGAACACCAGGAGACAATCTTGAAAGCATCCAGAGATGCTTTACATTGGAGGCTGTTTCCCAGGTGTGTGCAAGGCCACTCCCAGTCCCAGGCCTTTTCAGGGGGAGGGGATTGGCATCCTGGGTTCAGGCGGCACCCCTGCCCTGGATGGGCTGCGAGACTTTGGCAGGTAAACAAATTCTCTAAGCCTCGGTTTCCTTATCCGCAAATCCGGGCTGATCACAGTGTTTGCCTTTTAGGGCTGCTGTGGAGACCAAGGGAAGGTGTGTGCCAAGCCTGGCAGAGTGACACACCTTCACTGCAGGCTAACTATGTTTTCATTCCCTTCCTGCCATCACGTCCCCCACCCACCATGGAGCAGGGCCACAAGTAGAGAGCAACGTTTTAGTGGTGGGAGAAGAAATCCCCATTTATTGAGTGCCGGCTGAGCCAGAAATCTGGGCATTTGCCAAATACAGTCCTGTCAGTTGTGTCCTCACTGGACCCGGCGAGGCGGTAACTCTAAGGAATCCCCACGTGAAGAGGGCGAGTCTCAGCGGGATTGAGGGCTGAGCCCACGTGCTAAGGCAGGGCTCCATCTTGAGCTTGGAACTTCCCTCCTCTCTGCTCCGGGATTCTCCAAGTCCCCTTCAGCAGTGCCGGATGGGGTTAAGAGTAGTGCACGGTCCTGGCAGCAGGCCTGTTGTGAGCTGTTGACGGAGTGGAGTGATGAGGAGAGTGCAGACTCTGGTCATCCCCTCCAGGGGTCTTGGGACCAAACTGATGCCACTGGGGTGGCTTGGAGTTGGCAGGGTTGGTGCAGCCAGAAAGGTGACCCCTTCTCCCTTGCTCCCTTGCTGTGACCGAGGACCTGGTTCTCAGCAGGTGAGATGGGGGTGACACGGGACGGAGGGAGAGACTCCCTCACCTCTCATCTTGCCTCTGGGCCCCCTTTGTACATGGGGGTGGCGTCACCGTGCCCCCGGTGACACGAGACAGACTGCTCGCTCCTGCCAGCTAGGGGACCCTGGCTGGCTTGTTGAACACAAGCCTCTCCCACCCACATGGCCAAGGTGGCCTCTCACCTGTGGGTCACTGTCAGAGGCCAGACAGGCACTTCAGACGGAGGGCTTTACTAAAGGGAGCATGAGATGGCTACACACCCTCCTTGTAGAGGCTTCTCTGTGGTCGCCCTGCCTCCTGCCAGAGGGGTTCACCACCCCTCCTGCTTTCACATGTTCAAGTCAGCTTTTTGGTAGCTACTCTTCTGGTAAACACTACTTTCAACCTGCCTCTCCAGGCCCTTGGCTGGGTTCTTCAGCCCAATGCCAGAGGATGTGCAGGGAGAGGTGTCTGCCAGCCCAGTCCAAGATCTGGGAAGGAGGCACTGTCAGGAGGAGCCCAAGTGGGCTGAGCAGAAGAGGTAGGTGGACAGATAACAACCCAGCCTGAAGGGCAGTGGCATGCCAGAGCACTGTGAACAAAAGGCATGATGCTTGAAATGGCAACGAGCAGGACAGGGGACACCCAAGTCGTCAGCTCTTGCATGGGGGCAGAGTTGAGCACAGAGGACGTAAGAGACTGGAAGGGGAGCAGAAGGTGGGATCTGAGGTCTCTCGCTCGGATGGACACCCGCGGGGCCTGGAGCTTGTGCTGGGGCATCAGGGCTGCACAGGCCCCCAGATGGTGCTCCTTGCTGGAGAAGGCCCTGGTGAGACTGGGTGCATGGCCAGGACCTGCAACCAAGATTCATCCCCAGCTCTGCTCTGGCCCTACTGCTCATGATGGCAAGCCCTGATCCTCAGAGGGCCTGGCTGTTCCATCTGTGCAAAGTGCTGGCTGGATAGTGGTGTGGCTTAGATAGCAGGGCCCCCAGGATAGAACCGAGGGGGCCTGGAGTCAGGCGTAGGGGGGCTTGTGGCCTACCCAGCCCGACAGTGCAGCGACATGACTAGTTGATGGCCCGGAAGGTAAGGAGTGGGAGGGTGGAGGGCATCAGTATGAAGCGGTAGACCATCTTGATGTCCTCTTGCACCAGTGACTCCACCAGGAAGTTTTTCAGCACCTAGGACAGAGGCAGGGTTCTGCCTGGCCCAGCCTCTCCCGCCTTTCAGGACCCTGTGGCTGGGCGTCCCGGGAGCAGAAGCCTGGGGTCTGCAAGCGGGCTGCCTGCCCAGGGCCTGCCCAGGCCCCAGCCCGGCCCGCAGGCCCCAGCCCGGCCCACTCACGTGGTGCATCAGGAGCAGCATCTCCACCTCTGCCAGGCGCCGCCCCAGGCACTGGCGCACACCAAAGCCAAAGGCCAGGTGCGGGAACCTGACGCCAGAGTCCTGGTGGTCCAGCCAGCGCTGGGGATGGTAGCGCTCGGGCCTGGCGAACACGGCGGCATTTCGACCCAGGGAGTAGAGTAGCACCTTCACCAAAGTCTGCAGTCAGGTGGGGAGGGGCTAGGGTCAGCTGCCCCGTGGGCCAAGGTCAAACGGGCTGAGTATCAGCCAGAAGGGTGCTGGGGCCTCACTCACCCCAGCCGGGATGTGGTAGTTCTGCAGCACCAAGTCTGAGCTCACCCGTCGCTCCACGGTGATACCCACGGGGTACAGCCTGTGCATAGGGATGTCCAACAAGGTCCTCCGCTGTGAAAGGGCCCCTCACTTCCCTTCTGCAGCCTTCCCGGCCCAGCACTCATGGGCCAAGGGCAGCTGGCCACCGCCCTCACAGGTCCCTTCTGGCGCTGGGAAGCCCCGCTCCTGAGCAGCTGCTTCCTGGCAGCTCTGCAGCTCAGCCAGAGCTCCCCCAGCCTGAGCAGCCCTGGGCCAGTGGGGACGGGATGGAGGACGGCCCAGGACATTGAGGTGGCATCCCAGAGGAAGAAGCACCCCATTTTTTCAGGGGAGGAAGGGAAGGCGCAGGGGGATGTGTCCTCGGGCAAAGCTGCTTGTCAGCCCCAGGATCTGTCCTCAAGCCCTAGGGAGTGGGCTCTCCAGGCACTGGGGCCAGGGCATCTGGGGCAGCCAAGGTCTACCACGCCTACCTCAGGGTCTCCCTGAGGGCGGCCCTTAGCAGTGGCAGTTCCGTGGTTGCCCTCTGGGGATTTTCAGAGATCCTGGCCTCAGCCACCAGGCTCTCCTGGCGAACGGCCTGCTGCACATCCGGGTTTCGAGCCAGCTCAAAGAGAGTCATCAACAAGGGAAAGGCTGTCTGCAGGAGCCAGGGGAGCAGGGCTCGGACCTTGGCACAGGCCACGCCCCTCCACCCCCAGGGCACCCTCCCCAGAAAGATGGCCACCCCTGGGGACAGGGGACCTGCGTGCCCAGAGACCTGAGACCTCAAGAGCCTAAAACCACCCACCTCGTCGACTTCCCCTGAATCCCTCGGGGAAGGTGTCCCCAGTCTCAAATGAAGACGCAGGCCTCCTCCAGCCACTTCAGGGCCTGGTTCTCACCTTCCTCTGTGTCCACGAGGGGCTCACTCTTGCCAGCTACTCAGGGGGGAGGGTTCTGGAGCCCGAGGTCTAACTGCTCCCAGTGGGGCTTCTCCCCTGGGCATCCAAAGGCAGGTCCCAGACCCCACCCCTTTCCTCCTCCTGGATCACTTCCCTGTGCAGGGAGAGGTGTCTGCCAGCCCCAGCCAAAATCTGGGAGGGAAGCTAAGTCTTTCCTGAACGCCGTCCCCAAGGCGACATGCACGCCCCTGGCATCTTCTGACGGGCAGATACAGCCTCTCGGCTGCACCCCGTGCTCTGCCCTGTGGCCCGTGAGGGAGCAGAAATCTGACCGAGGCACTCCCTGCACTGGCTTCCTCCAGCCTTGGATTCAGGCCTGGTGCCCAAGGCCCCTCCTGCCAGGGGTCCTGACCCTGTCTGCCCCTATCTGCTCACTAGCCCTGTCCGCTCCACTCAGCCTCGCGGCCTTTCTTCACTGTCTGCTGTTGCTGGCCCCGGGCTGCTGCACTCCCAGCCCCCTCTTCGTGGCCCATCTGACTTGTGTGTGGTTCTTCCGCATTCCACGGAAAGCCCTCCTTCTCCAGGAAGTCCTCCTCTCAGAGCTGCCCCCTGAAGGCACATGCCCTCCCCTGGGTTCTTTCAGCTGGTGGCTGCGTCACAGACCCCCTGCTCAGGGAGTTTCTCCACAATGGGTCTGTGCCTCTGCTCTGAATCCTGGGTGCGTGGCCCAGAGCAGGCCCTCAGAGACGCTGGCAGATGAAGGCTCCGTCTAGAGGCAGGAAGGTTCGTCGGCCCTGCGCCCTGGAGCCCGCCCCGCCCGCCGCACTGTACCGCCGCCTGCTCCACCGCCCCAGCGAGAGCCCTGTGCTGCCCTGCCCGTCAGTCTGTCCCCTCCAAAGGATCTTTGGTGAGAGCTAAGTGTCATCTGTCACTGGGGGGTCTCCCCGTGCAGCTCTCTGCTGCACCTTGGCCCTTCCCCGTTGGCTCAGGACCCAGATTATCCACACAGGGTCTGTGGAGCTGCATGCCCCTGGGCCTCATCCACTCTGCACTCTGCCTGGAGCACGGTTTCCCACGGGAGGAGCTGCAAACTCCTTCCCTCTGAGGCCTGGCGCCCATGTTCCCCCCCTCAGTTCAGAAGCTGAGGCCTAAGTCTAGCCATCTTGGAGGCACAGACTGGGGAGGGGGCATGGACGAGCCATCTGGCGTGGGAAGGGGAGGGCTCCTGGTTCTACAGGAAGGGCTGGCTGCTGGCCTGACCGTGTCCACGCTCCCGGCAGTGAGGTCGATGGAGTTGGCCTTGATGGCATCCAGGGTCATGTCTGCATGCATGAGCAGCTCTGCCACAACGCCACTGTAGCGCCACGGGCGGCCAAGGGTCAGCTCCTGATAGAGTCTCTGGATGGCTTTGTTGGCTGTGGGGCCCAGAAAGACAGAGGCCCTGGGCCCGGGGCTGGGGGCACTTCTCTTTGTCACCCTCTGGCCCTTTAGCCCTCAGAAGCTCCAGGTCTCCGTGTGCCACCCCCAGTTCTCAGGGTCAGCCTAGTCCAGCCTCCCTGCCCACTCTCTCAGGGACCAGAAAGAAGCCACCAGCCCTGGCACGTGGCCTCAGCGCTCCCGGACTGTGGTGAGTGGAGGGGGCCCTGGGGTCCCTGGTCCCAGTGCTGCTGGATCCTCGGCCCTCACCATACTGGAAGATACAGTCCCAGGCCTCGAAGTGCTCCTTCCATATGCTGGTGCTTGTCCAGCGTGACAGGCTCCTGGGCAGGAACATGAGCTGCACTGTGGACTTGAACATGGCCTCCAGCGCGCTGATAAAGTTCAGGCTGTCAGCATTTGGGTTGTGGCCGAGGAGGCCCAGCCGCTCTCCATAAAGGACTAAGTTGCTGGCTGCAGGGAGGAGGCAGTTCCTGAGCCTGAGGCAGCCCAGGGCCTCCTGGCCTCCTCCTCTAGCCCTCCCTGCCCCAGCCCCGGCCCGCTCCGAGCCTCTGAGCTGCACCCCCGCTACACGCCCACACCTTCGATGGTGTAGCAGAAGATGCTGGGCTTGATGTCCAGGGTCAGGCTCCCCCGGGCGTTCTGTACCACCCTCGCCTTCAGGGTTTGGGAGAAATCCCTGGCCACCCCGTCCACCAGGGGTGCGAACTTCTGCACGGCCTGCAGTGACAGCACGTCCGGATTCAGCTGCAGCCGGTCGGAGCGCCACTTGGGCCCGTTTCTGTAGAGCAGAGCGCGGAGTGTCAGGGCATCCAGAGCCAGCAGCTGGCCCCAGCCCTGTACCCCACCCCGACGGGAGACGGGCAGGGCGGCAAGCCGCCTGCTGGTTCTCGGGGGGCCGGCTGCCTGCGAGTGGGCCTCGGCAGCACCTCTTTCCTCAGGGGGGCCTCGTGCACTTCGCCCAGGCTGAGACAGGAGCCCCGGCCCGAGCTGCTGCCCGGCCCCACTGTTTGTGCAAACTGGCAGGCCCCGCCCCTGGCACCCACGTCTCCCTCTCTAGGGGTGGAGGCTTTTCCGACGCTCACCCACAGCCCAGAGTGGGAGCGGCCCCTGGAGACCTTCATCCCCAGCTCGGGCGCACTGCCCCGTGCCCGTTCCACCTGCTGCTCTCCCTACAGAGCCTCCGCTCCTCCGGGGTGAGAATCAGAGCAGGGCTCTCCTAGCAGGCTCCGGACAGAGCCCGGAGCCCACAGGGGGTTCCCTGCAGGCCTGCGGGGGGTCTGACCTGCAGAAGGCGAGAAGTCCCACCTGTGCACGAGCCCCTCGGGGCCTGTGGAGGCTGGAGAGGGCTCCCGAATGGCAGTCCTAGCCTTCTTCCTCTCCCTGGAGGACAGGGCCCGGCTCGAGTCCCCACCAGGCCCCTGCTCCCCTCTCCGGCCCGGGGCACCCCTGAGCCCCTCAGGACAGGCACTCATCGGGAGCTGGTGGTCACCCTCTCTCCACCTGCCTAGAGAGGCCCCAGGCGGGTGTGCGCTGGAGCCTCTCCTGTCTCACCTCCTCTCTGCATCCACACTTCCCACCGCCCACCCCCTGCACCCCAACCCGCCCTCACAGCAAGAACACTCCACGTTTGAGGCCGCGGTGCTGTCGGTAGGCCAGCCAGGGCTCCACGAGCATCCGCTGAGGGTGAAAGCTCTCCGCCTGCTGCAGCCTCGCCACGTCTTCGGGCAGCATCACGAATACCATGCGCCTCCCTCCCACGTCATACCTGTGGGACAAAGCTCGAGGCTCTGCTCTGGGGATGTGGCCTCCCTTGGGCCCCACTCTGCAGAGACGGCCTGCAGCTGGCTCAGACCAGGCAGTCCCTCCTGCAGTCTCACTGAAGCCTCTCCTCCTCCGGTGTCTGCGTTCTGTCCTCCCAGCAGCAAGCTGCACAGTGCTCTGTCTCCACGGGGAGCCACGGTCTCCAGGGTTGAAGGCGCAGACCAGCCCTGCGGAGCCCCCTACCTGCCCCTTCCCCCATTCCCCAGACGCCCCGCCAGGACTGGATGTGGCAGAACCCTGAGCCCAGCCAGGACTCCGTGGCCAGCGGGACCACCAGTCAGGGTGTTCTCACTGAGGTGGTCAGGGAGAGCTTTACCTGAAAATGGGTCCCAGCTCCTGGAAGGTCTGATGCATGTCCAGGTGCATGTTCTCAGAGCCGTGCTCCCTCCAGATCTGCAGCGCCCGCATCCACTTGTTGCCAGGACACTGGGGTATGGCTTCGAAGGGCAGCACCTTCTTGGGGGCCTGAGCAGCTCTGGTACCCAGTGTGCATGCCCTGTGCAGGGACAGCCAAGGCCCTGCCCTCCACACTGCGGTCTTTGCCCAGAACGCCATGCTGGTGCGCCCTCACCCCTTTCGGCCCGGTCCTTTTATCTCGCCTAGTTTGCTGGACCGGCCGCCTTGATCACGTCAGAGGAGAAGCTGTCCCCGGGCCAGACCAGGAAACCCAGGGCAGTGGTCAGGGCTGGAGGCGTCTAGCGGGAGGATGAAAGAGATGGCCGGCTGCCTCGTCTGGCAGTGACGCAGCCCGCCGGTGGGCGGCTGCTGAGAGCAGGGGCGGGTCGGGGTGGGGGAAGGAGGCCTCCCTCCTCTCTCCCATGAGGGAAAGCAGCAAGATGGAGAGGTGCCTTATCTTATCAAGGGATGAATGGGGACCTTGGATATTTTCATCTTTTCTACAAGGACCAGAGGAGGAAGCAGTGGGGAGGGCTTTGCCCCAGTTTCCTGACGCCCCGTGTGTCTTGTCTGCTCTTCCCAGGCCTTGTGCTGGGTGCAGGGCGGGGAGGTCAGGAGCTAGCAAGGACCCCTCCTGGTGGGGGTTTCGGTGCCTTGGGGCCAGTCAGGGGAATCCAGACACCACTTGGGTGGCACTGGGGCAGCCAGGGCACCGATGTGGCTGAGGCCCTGTGTATCTGGCCTTGCTGGTCCAGCTAAGGGGCAGTGAACACCCAGGAGATGGGGTCATTGGTGGGGTGGCCTGTGAGCTGCTCCTCAGGTAGACAATGACAGGTCTCTGCCTGCCCGACTTGGGGCCTCTGTTCAGGGCCCCGTCTTCCTCTCTCCCCAGAACTTGCCTCCCAGAGGAACCCATCAAGGCTGTGATGGGGGTGGGCGTGGGCTCCCCATTCTCCCAGGGACCCTTTCCAGCAGGCATATAGCTGGAGCCAGCCCTCAGGCGGGGGGATCCCCAGAGCGTTTTTTTTTTTCTTGATTTTTTTAAGAATTGAAGTTTAGTTGACTTACAACATGTTAATTTCTGGTGTACAGCATAATGATTCACTTACACATATATGTATTTCTTCCCATATTCTTTTCCTTACAGGTTACAAGCCACTGAATATAGTTCCCTGTGCTGCACAGGAGAACCTTGTTTATCTATTCTGTACATAGTAGTTAGTATCTGCCAATCCCAAACTCCCAATTTATCACTTCCTCCCTCCATTCATCCCTGGTGATCACAAGTTTGTTTTTTATGTGTGTGCATCTCTTTCTGTTTTGTAAATAAGTTCACTTCTGTCACTTTTTTAGATTCCTCCTGTAAGTGATATCATATGACATTTTATTTTTTCTGACTTACTTCACTTAGTATGGTCACCTGTAGATCCATGTTGCTAAAAATGGCATTATTTCATTCCTTTTCATGGCTGAGTATATATTCCATTGTATATAAATACACCACAACTTCTTTAACCAGTCATCTGTCAGTGGACATTCAGGTGGCTTCCATGACTTGGCTATTGTGAAGAATATGGCTGTCATTTCTAATATTACTTTGATTTAACTCATTCCCTGCTCCTCACCCTCCTCATTCAGTTGGGCCAGTGAGTCAGAACTGCCAAGGCCCCTCGTCAGGCTGAGATGCACAGTGGGCCTCAGCCCCAAGTGGTGTAAGAGCTGCCCTTGGACCAGGATGCAGCCGGGAGTCACAGCCTGCCCTTGGTGTGCTGGTGCGTCAGTGCGGGCCACGCTGCCCAGGTCTCAGCGAACACACAAAAACTGCAGAAACTTTACAGCCATTTTAATTAACATTCTTGTTTCTTACACTCCATTCGTAGATTTGAATTTTGTTGTTTTCATTCACTCACACGTGTATGTTTCCTGGGCTCACTATTCTTTTCTACATTGAAAACTCTCCTAGAGATAAATGCCACTTTTTCTAGTGGTCATTACTTAAACTTTCGGTGAAGAAGTTTCTGTGGGAAGAGACGTTGTCAGATCAGTGGTCTCAATGTATTTACTTTAACCTCTGACTTCAAAGGTCATGGTCTGGAGTGGGTTTTTTTCGCTAAAAGACAGTACTTCTAGTCTTTTGAAGATGCTAAATATGGCAGACAAGTTTGGCTGTGTATCAACTCATGCCATGCACTTCTAGACCCACAGTCAGACTGCAATGTGCGGGCTCCTGCAGCCCAGTTTATCCAGCAGAACCAGGCAGAGGCCACGTGTGTCTTTGCTGGTCCTGACCCTCTATGTTCCTTCCCCTTTGCTACTTGGCCTGGAGACCGTGGACATGACATCTCCAACCACTGGAGGGGGAAGAGCTACTGGCTCATCAGAAATTCCCATTTGAGACTTTATGTGAGAAATTTGCTACTTTCATGCAGGAGTCATGTTGGGGAACCTGAGGCCTCAC